TATTCGTACATGCATGCAACTACACACTTTCTATTTAAACACATCTACATAAGATCTCCATGGTATATACATACACCGCTCGCACATATACAGATCTGCATTGCTCTTACTTATACAAGTCTTTGATATCCCTTATGTAGCGTGTACATGTTTATCTTGACAACCGATAGACTCAGACGCAGTATTTGCGCTACAGGGACATAAACAATATAGCGGATGTAGAGGTTATCTTATAATATAATATTATGCAATCTAAAGTTATTCGTGCAAACTAGAATTTCGCTATTTACACATGATTCTTGTTGTTATGAAGGTTATCATGGTTATTGCAGTCATTAGATTTTTTAAATATGTTTTTATACAATACATTAGTGGTAAGTAATTCATTTGAACGTTGGTAATACATCTCACAATAACAATATAGAGTCTGTGGTTGCCTTCATCTTGTTCAGACACCACAACATGAAGGATGACAGATAGGATCACATGTTGCTGATCGTGGGGGTTTTAATACAGTGTGCACTCTGATGGTGTTTTCATCAAAGAAATCATTGTAGGAAACTAAGGCAACAAAATCTCCAAGAAAACTTTCCATCGTTGAAGGATTCAAAAAATGTCTAATATATATATTCCTGTAATGAACTTCATCGACATTCTTCAGAATTGCCCAAAACTTGATAAAATCTTCTTCCGCCAGAATGCAATTCTTCTTCCGGAAATCAGGAGTAAGAAGAAATTAAAAAAGCCGGTGATAACTGGGCGCATTTTGTTCGCCATATCAGCGGGATTATAAATTCCCTCCAGATAAGCGACATAGTCGTCAACAGAGATGTGTTTGTCTGCTCCTCTTTTGAATATATGATCATTCCACCATTTTTTCTGCGCATCTGCATTTAAAGCCGTCCTCCTATCGCCAATGGCCAATCGTAGCTGTTCAAGCGTGGTGTTGGTTCTCTCCATGTCATCGGAACTGATTATTACATCTTGGTCGGCATCAAGAAGACTGGCCCACTGGTGCCATTTATGTCGCATAAACCAATTTTCTGTGATTAAAAAAAAAAGAATACCTTGATGTCTAAGAATATTTCTGTTTAATATACATTCGCATGATGGCACAAAATATAAAATCCATTTATAAACCAGCTATTTCAAAAATAAATTTTAATCAACAAACATATGTACCAAAACAAAGATAGATTATCATTTTGGAAATAAATAAAAAAAAAATTAGAGAACGGAAACAAAAAATTCAGCAATTTTTCCATTTGTAAAGGGGCATAACTCTAGAACGGTAAAAGTGACGCCACCAAAATTCAAACTTGATCTGTGTTTTGTGGTAATAAGCATTCTGTATAAGTTTCATAACATTTGGTTGTGGCAAACTAATTTAAAAGTTAGAGAACGGAAACGAAAAATTCAGCAATTTTTCCATTTGTAAAGGGGCATAACTCTAGAACGGTTAAAGTGACGCCACCAAAATTCAAGCTTGATCTGTGTTTTGTGGTAATAAGCATTGTGTATAAGTTTCATAACATTTAGTTGAGGCAAACTAAAGTTACAGAACGGAAACGATGAATTCAGCAATTTTTTCCATTTGTAAAGGGGCATAACTCGAGAACGGTAAAAGTGACTCCACCAAAATTCAAACTCGATCTGTGTTTTGTGATAATAAACATTGTGTATAAGTTTCATACCATTTGGTTGAGACAAACTAAAATTAGAGAACGGAAACCAATTTTGGGACGTACGTACGTACGTACAGACGGACAAGGGTAAAACTTAATGCCCCCTTTGCTACGGCGGGGGCATAAAAACATCAAACTCTGACATATCACTATTTTCATAAATAATAAATGGGGTATGTGTCCATGGGACACCGATGATGTCCCCACTTGCATATATCGTTATAAAGGGACAAAACTTTAGAAAGTAAAAGTGGCGCCACCAAATTTTCAAACTTGACCTGAGTTTTGTGATAATGAGAATTGTGTATTAATTTCATAACATTTAGTTGAGGCAAACTTAAGTAAGAGAACGGAAACTATAACAATTCAGCAATTTTTCCATTTGTAAAGGGCATTACTCTAGAAAGGTATATGTGACGCCTCCAAAATTCGAACTTGATCTGTGTTGTGTGGTATTAAGCATTGTGTATATGTTTCAGAGCATTTGGTTGAGGCAAACTAAACTTACAGAATGGAAACGAAGAAAAATTCAGCAATTTTTTCATTTGAAAAGGGACATAACTCTGGAAAGGTAAAAGTGACGCCACCAAAATTCAAACTGGATCTGTGTTTTGTGGTTATAAGCATAGTGTATCAGTTTCATAATATTTGGTTGAGGCAAACTAAAGTCACAGAACGGAAACCAATTTGGGACGTACGGACTGACGGACGTACGTACAGACGGACAAGGGTAAAACTTAATGCTCCCTCCGCTACGGCGGGGACATTATAATTCCGCAATTGAGTTCAGAATATATACGTTTATCTCAGAACCCGAAACTGTAGTATGGCGGAACTAATTACACAAAAAAGATACAATGGATAAGCTCCAATTAGTTAATTAAAATATAAAGACTATGTTCCTAATAATACATAAAAAGAAGTATTTTATGATAATACTTCTTCTCAAATATAGCCCATCAACATTGAATGTTGTTCTTCCTTCAGCGAGATTCGAACCCCTACATCTGAGGCATCGTTGCAACACCACCTGCATCGTGTCCATCGCACTAGACCAATCGACCAGCTATGCTATATAAAATGCAGCTTTTGTTAGTCGAGTAATGTCTTTACTCAGAAACATTGCATACTTTTGGAACCTATACGTGGTTTTACACCTTATAAATCTGTCATCCTCAACTCAATTATTTAAACATCTCTCAACAATGATAATTAAAATTTAGAATGTGAATGGGGAATATGTCAAAGATACAACAACCCGACCAAAGAGCAGACAACAGCCGAAAGCCACCAATGGGTCTTCAACGCAGCGAGAAAATCCCGCACCCGGAAGTGGTCCTTAGCTGACCCCTGAATACGATTGTGTACTAGTTCAATGAAAATAGACGTCACACTAAACTCCAAAACATATAAATGAACTAAAATTAAAAAACATACAAGACTTACAAAGGCCAGAGGCTCCTGACTTGGAACAGGCGCAAAAATGCGGCGGGGTTAAACATGTTTTGTGAGATCTCAACCCCCCTCCCCCTATTACCTCTAGCCAATGTAGAATTATATAAAGAAACACATAGCAATACTCACAATTAAATTCAGTTTAAAAGAAGTCCGAGTCCGATGTCAGAATAGGTAACAAAACTAGAGGCTCTCAAGAGCCTGTGTCGCTCACCTGTATTTACTGATGCTTTGGAAATCATGTAAAATAAGGTTAAAATCATAATTAATAGTATTAGATATTAGATATTATAATGATATCTATGATAATAACAAAAAAACTGCAAAATTTTTGTAAAATTACTAACTCAGGGGCAGCAACCCAACAACGGGTTGTCGGATTCGTCTGAAAATTTCAGGGCAGATAAATCTAAATCTGATGAACATTTTGGCCACCTGTCAGATTTGCTCTAAATGCTTTAGTTTCAGAGATATAAACCAAAAACTGCATTTTACCCCTATGTTCTATTTTTAACCAAGTCGGCCATGATGGTTGGAAGGCGGGGTCATCGGACAAATTTTTTAAACTAGATACCCTAATAATGATTATGGCCAAGTATTGTTAAATTTGTCTCAGTAGTTTCAAAGAAGAAGATTTTTGTAAAAGATTACAAAAATTTACAAAAAATTGTTAAAAATTGACTATTAAGGGCAATAACTCCTAAAGGGGTCGACTGACAATTTTGGTCATGACAACTTATTTGTAGATCTTACTTTGCTGAACATTATTGCTGTTTACAGTTTATCTCTATCTATAATAATATTCAAGATAATAACCAAAAACTGCAAAATTTCCTTAAAATTACCAATTCAGGGGCAGCAACCCAACAACAGGTTGTCAGATTGGTCTGAAAATTTCAGGGCAGATAGATCTTGACCTGATAATTAGTTTTACCCCATGTCAGATTTGCTCTAAATGCTTTGGTTTCAGAGATATAAGCCAAAATCTACATTTTACCCCTATGTTCTATTTTTATCCATGGCGGCCATCTTGGTTGGTTGACCGGATCACCGGACACATTTTTTAAACGAGATACCCAAATGATGATTGTGACCAAGTTTGGTTATATTTGACCCAGTAGTTTCAGAGGAGAAGATTTTTGTAAAAGTTAACAGACGATGCCGGACGACGACGACGATGGACGACGGACGCCAAGTGAAGAGAAAAGCTCACTTGGCCCTTCGGGCCAGGTGAGCTAAAAAAAAGTAAGCAAAATGACAATGATACATAAATGAACAAAGAACTACTAGCAGTTACTGACATGCCAGTTCCAGACTTCAATTAAACTGATTGAAAGATTATGTCTGCATCATACTTACTTACTTTATGAATAACAATAAACATGGAGACAATGACGTAAAGAGCATACGGTATCAGTACGACCATCTGTCCTATCTTGGCATCGTAGTAAAAGTTATAGAACCCCTGGTCACACTTCAATGTATGATTTTTAGAGACATCATGGAATTGGAAAACTTTTGTTGCTCCTGGATGAAAATTGTTATAACAAGTTATTTTAAACTTTCTGCTGATTCTCACTCACACTCACACAAAAATACATAACCCCTCCCCCCTTAACATACACACTATATGTTAAAGTAGTTATACGTAGTACGCAAGGCACGTGGTTCAGGAATGAATTTTATCAGGTACACTCGAAGATTAGGAAATCTATTGTTGATATGATGTTTATAATATCCCTCCTGTCTATTTACAATATCACAGGAAGATGTATTACCAAAACTTGAAGGATTTAATACAACCTTAACAAATTCATCTACCAGATTTATGCAAAACATAATCCATAACCGAAAATCTATTCAATTCGATACTGTAGAAGAAAAACCAACACTTATTTAACAGATTTATAACAGCAGTATACATCTTTTCCCCTAACAAGTACAGTCCTATCAAATTAGTCATTTTTTATTTGTCTGAAATGTTTGCTAGATGAAAAATACCTTATGCCATAAACCTCTGCGGTGCAGTTATAATAAACAACAGAAATAATATGCTGTTATTAGTAAATAGTGCCATATAAATTATAAAAAAAAACTATACAAGCAAACAAAAAAAAGGCAAACAACGTTATATAATGTTAAGCGGGTCTTTGTCGAGCCTGCGACTTTTGTCGCAAAAGCGAGACATAGCGATCCTACATTCCGTCGGCGTCGTCGTCGTCGTCGGCAGCGTCCACAAATATTCACTCTGTTGTTAAAGTTTTTCAAATTTTAATAACTTTCCTAAACTATCCTTCATTTCAACCAAACTTGGACAGAAGCTTGTCTATGATCATAAGATAGTATCCAGAAGTAAATTTTGTAAAAAAAAATCCTGTTTATCCGTATTTTACTTATAAATGGACTTACTTTTTCTGCCAGTTAACATTACATTCATTCTGTGGTTAAAGTTTTTCAAATTTTAATAACTTTCTTAAACTACCCCAGATTTGTACCAAACTTGGACAGAAGCATATGTGGACTTAGTTTTTCTGCCTGTTAACATAACATTCCCTCTGTGGTTAAAGTTTTTCAAATTTTAATAACTTTCTTCAACTATCCTGGATTTGTACCACTTTTGAACAGAAACTTGTTTGTGATCATAAGATAGTATTCAAAAGTAAATTTTGTTAAAAGAATCATGTTTATCCGTATTTTACTTATACATGAACTTAGTTTTTCTGCCAGTTAACATTACATTCACTCTGTGGTTAATGTTTTTTCAAATTTTAATAACTTTCTTAAACTATCCTGGATTTGTACCAAACTTGGAGAGAAGCTTGTTTATGATCAAAAGCTATTATCAAGAAGGAAATTTGTAAAAATTTATTTCCTGTTTTTCCGTATATTACTTATAAATGAACTTAGTTTTATTCCAGTTAACATTACGTACAGTCTGCAGTTAATGTTTTTAAAACATTTATTAGATTCATAAACCTTCTTGGATTTTTACCAAACTTGAACAGAACTTCTTACAATCAAAAGATAGTATCTAGAGCAAAATTTTTAATAATTTTTTTCCCATTTTTGTTGAGCCTGCGACTAACAGCAAAAGTAGGCGAGACACTGGGTTCCGCGGAACCCTTACGAATTTTTTTCCAATGTGTTATATGCTGTCCAAAAACTGCCATTCTATCGCACTCATGTGTTTATCGCCTTTTTTTTTTATATTAACAAATCGTGTTGCTTTTAAAGAAAATACTAGTAAATGCTTATGGGGAAAGTTTTCAAATTTCAAACGGGCTCGTTAATTCAGCATTCATTGCTGACAATTATCGATCCTCAACTACACTAAATATTCTAAGAGGGATAAGATAAAATTGAAAATAAATTCGAATTGATAATCTTACAATAGAGAATGGAATCGGAGAATGTGTCAAAGCCACAACAACCCGACCATAAAGCAGAAAACAGCCCAATACCAGGAATGAGTCTTCAACGCAGCGAAAAAATTCGTCACTCAGAAGCGGGCTTCAGCTGGTCCCTAAACAACAATGTATACTGATGATTTAAGCCCTTTTCAACTGATTTTTGTAGTTTGTTCTCATGTTGTGCTGTAACACGACAGTCAATGGTTAGGGGAAGGTTGTCATGTTTAACCCCGCCACATTCTTTAAGTTCCTGTCCCAAGCCAGAAGCCTGTAGTTCAGTGGTTGACGTTGGTTCATGTCTCATATTCTTTTTTTTGTAAACTGTTTTGTTATAAATTATGCCGTAGTTTTCTCAATTGAATTGCTTGATACTTTTAATGTCGGGGCCTTTTATAGCCGACCATACGCTTTTGGTTTTTCTTCTACTTTTAATTGTTTTCGGGCAGAAGGCTGTCTATTATTTCTTACATCCACTTCATCTGAACTTTCGTGGATAGCTGTCTCATTGGCAATCATACCACATCTTCTTATTTTTACATAGTCTAGCGAAATTGACGACACAGTGAACTCCGAAACATACAATTGAACCAGAATTTAAAAAGCAGAAAGACGATCAAATGCTCTAGGTTCCTGACTTGGATAATGTGTGGAAAATGCGGCGAGATTGAACATGTTTTATGAGATCTCAATCCCCTCCCCCTAAACAAAACTCAGCAATACGCAGTATTAACTATAAAAAAAATGTAGCTTTTAAAATTGTCTTTAATTCTAATTAAACAATTTAAATTCTTACTAAAAACACTTTTGAATATCTATTTAATTTTTTGCTTTACTGAAGAAAACATGTGTTGAAGTGTTTAGTACATACCTATAAGACATAAAACAAATGTTGCAAAGCAAAGACCGCAGCAAAAGAAAAACAAGTAGCCTCCACATTTTTTTCTTCCCTCCAAATCTGCTTTGTTAATGCGACGTGTCCGCTTTCTGTCACAGATGAATAGTAGACGCCAAAAGAAGACATAGAGAACTAATGCACACAAAACTCCGCCCTCTATTTTCATGAATGACGGGAGGTCTTCTTCTTCTTCTGTGGTTTTACCTTTTCCATCGTACTTTTTCCGAAAACATTGACCAGCATATTTCAAACCTTTAGAAATAAATACAAAAAATATTTAACATGATAAAAAGGAGGTGCTGAATATTCGTCAATTCAACACAAGCAAACGTCCTAAAAATCAAATAGAATTATGTGACTTCTATTTCTTTAGCATGTTTAAAAAACATTGTGCGTACGCATGAAGTCCATTACTTTACCAACAATTGGGGTAGCTAGCATTTTGTTTTTGGTTTAAATCCCTATCAAAATTAAAAATACTAATAAAAAAATCTAGATGACGGTATAATAAAACACTCAAATATTGAACTACATGTACATACACATTTATTTAATTATATATTACATTACTATTAACTTACCGAAAACAATGTAGGTTATCGCAAAGACGAGAGCACCAAGCCAAATTATTTGTTGTAGGACTGAAAAAAAGCAAACAACACATCAAAACAATAACATCATGTTGTAAAACAATTGAATGTGAACTTTAAAATCGCAGACATACGGAAGCGTATAGGTACAATGTATCTTTTTTGTTGTTGTTGCTATTGACTTGTTGCGTTATATTATTACGGAAGCGTAAAGGTATCTTTTTTTGTTGTTGTTGCTATTGACTTGTTGCGTTATATCATACTTATCGATATATTTTATGTCGACTTGTGTGGTGATACCGCAATAAGTTATCAAAATTATTGCTGAATATTGTGTTATATCAAAACAATGCGATATAAAAAATATTGACTTGAAGTAGATGTCGATATATTTATGTCGTAACAAATTATAATCGAATATAATAATATCGATTAAAAATGACAATCAATTTTGTTAATATATTTATCTCAATATCTCCAAAACAATACCGCTATACATTTCTTATATTACGATATATCGATATACTAGAAAATGGTTTGTTGCGTTGTTTCGACATATATCGATTTAATTCATATCGACTTTTAAAACATAAATTTAACGACAATCACATAGCTCGAAAGCGCGTCAAGGATTTTCACTGTAGTTATTCACAAGCAATTTACAGTCAAGGGATGACCATGGTAAAAAAATACAGGGTTTGTTTGTTTTTTAATAATCATTTTTGATAATTTGGCCTGACCTAAAAGGTCGTGTCAGCTTTTGCTATCACTTAGTGTCCGTCGTCCGTCGTCGTCGTCGAAAACTTTTCATTTAAGATATTCTACTGTAACACCACTGAGCCAATTTCAACCAAACTTGGCAGTAAGGATCCTTTAGTGGTCCTCTTTCAAAGTTATGTCCAATGACCCCATCCGCGATCAAAGATGGCTGCCATAGCCGAACATAGTTTGATATAGGACCCAATTTGAAAATTACTGAAATATCTTCTTGTGTGGAACCACCAACCCAATATGAACTAAATTTAGCAGCAATGGTCCTTAGGCAAAACCTACTTTTACATAGGACCCTATGGGAAAATCACTAAAAAATATCTGGTTTAGTTTAAACATATTTTATTTGCTGAAAATCTGAAAAATGGATCAGGCAAAAGTCATCACCAACATCTTTGCCGACGTAAACCAAAATTGGCAGCAATGGCCCTAGTTTAAGAATTGAAGATGACAGCCATAGTCAAACTTAGTTTTAACATAAGAGCCTATGGTAAAATCACTAACATTTATTCTGGTCTGAAACGACTGAGCCAATATGAGCCAAACTTAGAATTAATGATCCGATAACTCTGTCAGAATTATGGGGAAATCACTAAGATTCTTCTTGTCTTAAACCATTGAGTCATTATGAACCAAACTCAGCAGCTATGGTCCTTAGATAGTCTTCTTTCAGAATTTGTCCGATGACCCTGTCTGTGATCCAAGATAACCGATGTAGTCGAAATGAGTTTTACATACTTCTGAAACCACTGAACAAATGTCAACCACACTCTATTTCTTTTTGATATTCTACTTTTTGACATATTAGAATACTTAGAGACAGTGCTGTTTTTTTCAGGTGTTTGTTCTTGTGATCTGCATTGGATGTGCATTTAGTCTACCAGAAGCAGACGATATTCGAGAAACGAACTAGTTAAATATTATTTTGAGTTAGGATATGATTACAAAGAGATTATTGGCTTTTTGTGCTGTGTACATGGAATTACGCTCAGTTTGTCTCATTTGAAAAGACTTTTGTGTAAATTTGGATTAAAAAGGAATAGGTCCGAAACACCATTGCTTGAAATCGTTCATAGTATTGGAGAACTGCATCAAGAGGGTTTTGACTGCATAGGCTATAAGGCAATGCGGAAAATTCTTAATGTAATGTGCGGTACCAGAGCAACGCAAGAAACAGTTCAAATAGCTTAGAATACATTGACACCAAATCAAGTTGTAGACAGGTCACGTCATCGTCTTCTAAGAAGACAATATTGCAATCGAGGACCAAACTATTTAATCCATATCGATGGATAAGTAAGACAAACTAAAGCCATTTGGAATAGCCATTCACGGTGCAATTGACGGTTATTCACGAAAGATTTTATGGCTTAGAGCTGCAAATACAAATAAAAATCCAAGAATCGTTGGTAGGTACTTTATGAACTACATAAAAGAAATCGGGAGAGTACCCAGGGTTGTTTGCGGAGATGCTGGTACAGAAAATTCAATGATTAGGGAGATTCAAGTTTTTTTAAGACAAGATCACATTGACTCATGCAGGGACAGAAAAATTTTCAGTACGGAAAATCTACTTTAAACCAAAGAATCGAAATGCTATGGAATTTTTTAATGAAAGGTTTTACCCAATATTGGAGAAACATATTTAAGGATTTGCGCGATAGTGAACGTTTCAGCAACGAAAATGTTCAGCATATCAACTGCATCAGATTCTGTTTTCTTACATTGGTTGAAAACCACCTTGACATTTTCACACATACATGGAATTTGCATAGGATAAGACACCAACGCAACAGAGGGTTCCTTCTGGTGTCCCAAATGTACTGTTTTATCAGCCAGAAATCTGCGGTGACGGGGACTATTCATTTGAACTGTCTTTCAGTTGGGATGCAATACATAATTTGATTGAAGTTTTCATTCAAAACCCTCCTGAAAGAGGATGTCCATATGCATTTTGGGACGAATTAGAGTTGAAGTACGAAATTCTAAAGCTGGAATGGAAATACATTGTACCAAATAGTAATGAAGAAGCTCTTATGCTGTTTGATACAATGGTTACAATGTTTGACATATAAATCTCCTGCTTTAGCTGTTTATATGCCTTTTTAGCTCACCTGGCCCAAAGGGCCAAGTGAGCTTTTCTCATCACTTGGCGTCCGGCGTCCGGCGTCGTCCGTCGTCGTTAACTTTTACAAAAATCTTCTCCTCTGAAACTACTGGGCCAAAATTTAACCAAACATGGCCACAATCGTCACTGGGGTATCTAGTTTAAAATGTAGTTTTTGACTTATATCTCCAAAACCGAAGCCTTTGGAGTAAATCTGACATGGGATAAATTGTTAATCAGGTCAAGATCTATCTGCCCTAAAATTTTCAGACAAATTTGACAACCCGTCAATTTACCCCTTAAGGAGTTATAAAAATTATTGTCCTATATAGTAAATTTTTAACAAATTTTTGTAAATTTTTGTAATCTTACAAAAATCTTCTCCTCTGAAACTACTTAGACAAATTTAGCCAAACTTGGTCACAATCATTATCTAGTTTAAAAAATGTGTCCGATGACCCCGCTTGCCAACCAACATGGCTGACATGGCTTAAAATGAAACAGGGGTAAATTGCAGTTTTTGGCTTATATCTCTGAAACTAAAGCATTTACAGCAATTTGACAATGTAAAAAAAAGATGATAAGGTTAAGATCTATCTGTCCTGAAATTTTCAGAAGAATCAGACAAGCCGTTGTTGGGTTGCTGCCCCTGTATTGGTAATTTTAAGGAAATTTTGCAGTTTTTGGTTATCTTGAATATTATTATAGATAGAAATAAACTGTAAACAGCAATAATGTTCAGCAAAAAAGATTTACAAATAAGTCAACATAATCAAAATGGTCAATTGACCCCATAAGGAGTTATTGCCCTTTAAAGTCAAATTTAATAATTTTTCGTAATTTTTTTTATCTTCTACAAGTCTTCTGCTGAAACAACTGATACAAATTTAACCAAACTTGGCCACAATAAGCATTAGAGTATCTTGTTTGAAAATGGCAGACATGGCTAATAATAGAACATAGGGGTAAAATGCAGTTTTTGACTGATATCTCTGAAACTAAAGCAAAAGTATAACGGTTGTGTTATTTCATGCATCAATTGTAAATAAAAATACATGTATCAGGTGAGCGACAGAGGCTCCCTTGAGCCTCTGGTTTAACTTCCAGGCAAATATGCTCTGTCAAACTGAAATTTGTGACCATAAATGTACATGTTTTGGAAATAAAGAACTTTTTTTATTTGAAAATTAGTTATTTATTTATGCCAGAGTAAAGCATAAAAGGATATATTTTCTTTGTAAAAAAACCCAAAAACAAACAAATGAACGTACCTCTATATAAACCTCACTAAGATAATGATATCATTTGAGGGTTCCCAAACACTTCATAGATAATTTGAAGAAACCAGGTCGCAGTTTAAACTTCAGTGATCAATGTCTAGTTTTTGTCGAGACTTCGATTTTTGTCGCAGAAAGCTCGACATAGGGATAGTGATCCGCCGCCGGCGGCCTTAGCTAACTTCTTAAAAGCTTAAGATTGAAGACCTGGATGCTTCATACTTGGTATTCAGTTGCCATATGTTACGAAGTTTCAGTCTTTCACATGTTCATTGTCCTTGACCTCATTTTCATGGTTCAGTAAAATTGAGAATGGAAATGGGGAATATGTCAAAGAGATAACAACCCGACCAAAGAGCAGACAACAGCCGAAGGCCACCAATGGGTCTTCAATGCAGCGAGAAAATCCCGCACCCGGAGGTGGTCCTCAGCTGGCCCCTAACTAAAATTGTGTGCTAGTTCAGTGAAAATGAACGCCACACTAAACTCCAAAACATATAAATGAAC